CATTTTGGCAGTTAAAATATGATTTGAAGTCCACTGCTATTAGATTTCAGTATGGAGTGTAGAGAAGGCAATACTTTAGTATGTCCCATTATCAATAAATAGAATAATCAGTGCCATATGCTCGTCCCTTCAGATCTACTACAGATATTCGTTTCGGGGCAGTTTAAATGACTCGTAAGTCAATTTAGGCAGTGAATGTTTGAAGTAGCCCATTAGAATATTCACAGACACCAAAGAATGCTTGGATTAAGTCGGGTTTCTAAAACGAAAACAGGCTCACGCTTAAAATGCGCCCAAAATCATCAAGCGGTAGAATTTATGATATATTTTAGTGCTGAGACCTAAAATTCTGTCGCGAAATGTGATAACCATTTAAACATCTTAGATCATACATTCCATAGTTATGGATAGTTTCTAAATGAGCAACAGTATTAGGGGACATACGTTTGGGAGCACTGACGAAGCCTTTTATCAAAATGCATATGGAGGAGGTGTAAAGATAAGAACGAGCCTTCAAACTTCGGCTTCCCATTTTCATTTATGCTTCCTTAAATTAAACATACAGTAATAAAATTTTTATGACAGGGAAGCGAACAATAAAAGCACTGCCATACTACCCCTGATGGGGCAATTCAGGCGATGGTAGTGGGATTAGAACACACATACTAGATCACCTTTACCACCGAGCCACTACTGCCCAAGTGATCCGAGGCCGGCAGGTGTAACACATTCAGCACTTTCCAGCAGAAACAGCATCGTGTCACGTATTGTATGAAATATGTTTTCATGCATTTATGAGCCGCAATGGTGGGCGCTTTTTCGGGATGCTTTTGGGAGCGAGATGCATGATAGCAAAGTAAACTTTACCTGCATGGTATACAATTAACCAATTTTGGCATATACCCATAAAAATCCACCACAAAGGAAATTTACCAGTGGAGACCTTTGTCACAATACCTCGCTTTATTCCATCACATGAACATGTTTTACCGTTTTAGTGGCTATTTGCTGCACCTTTCGATGTAGTTTACATTCGTCTGTAAATCCAGTGACCAAGCTTGAATACAACCTTCTACGTGCGACATGATGATGGCTTTGTAAATTGGTACATAAAACTCCGATCTAGTGAAGCTCAGGGCACCTCGAGATCAAAAAAGCAGTCAACGTATACTCTGAACTACTTTCAGGTACTAGGCGAATGGTTTGAAATCATTTGTGATACTGAAACCTAGATCCGGCCCGTCAGATGTTTTAGTATACGCAGCTTGATGAACAGTAGATGAGATAAACCCCATAGTCATGGAAACCCGTAACCTAAACCCCGGGACTTGGAATGGTGGACCAAATAAGATCCCGCTGGGCTAACGCTGCCTACCATCAAAGCTGGGTATCAATGGCATGGCTTGAACCTTGAACCATAGGGTCCAGATCATGTCAGTGACAGCGAATAAACCATTGTGCTACCACCAAGCTGTCTTGATATTACTTAGCTACCCTAAGGTGTTTGTAAACAATCGTTTCATATATATATATATATTTACACATATGATAGGTCAAATTTGCCTTCTATTTCTCACGTTTATGTATTTTGAACGACAACGATGGATGGTAAGAGAGAGCTGCTCATTCCTTATTCATTGCAGCAGTTTCCCAAGGAAATATTCAGCTTTCCTTTTTAAGCACTAGTCATCCGTTGAATCTTGCAAGTTTATCCGTAGTGATTTAAATATTTTTGACCTTAAGGGCTCTGAAAGTTCTGACAATGGGCATTGAAGTACATGGCGATGTTTTATCTGTGGTTCAACGTAGTTGAAAAACCTGTTTCTTGGTGACATTGGATGTGTGCATGTTCCAACTAAGGCAAATCAGATTCCGTACTGAGCTATGACTCTGCAACACCGTGCTCATACTTCGATCTGATACCTAAGGCGTAAAATACTTTGAGAGTGTTCAGTGTTGGTCCGAGAATGCTCCACGCTCAGGCGCAGACATTATCAATATTTGCATGAGGGTTTCAGTAAAAACTTGATTGAAACTGCTAAGTATATTCCTCAAAAACGTCAGTGTGAAGCGGTCCCGTGGAAGTTGTAGTCCTCTCCAAGTAGGAAACCAACAACTGCAGGAAGGTACAATTAGCTGTATTAAATGGAAGAATCCAAGTGTTCACACACCAGTATCAGCCTGCCATCCCCACAATTAAAAACTGTGTACCAGAATTTGATGTCCTACAAATACATTATGAATTTGGGTTATCAATATTCCTGCATTTTGGTGCTTCTTTATTTCAACAAGCCTCATTACATCTGCTAATCAGTCTCATAAATCAATAACTAACAATTGAATAAGTTTCGTGATAGATTGAAATGGTTAGTCTTTAGTTTAACTTTATGTCTAACCCTTTCTAGATTCCATTCGACATTTTACCTTCTTCAGCGGACGAAAATAGGGATTTTGTAGATCGTTGGCTGGATCGTGAATGCAAGACAGCTTTGGAACTGCTACCGTTTTAAAGATGTTTAAAAGATACGGCTTAACATATGGACTGCTAGTGCTTTCTCTTCGCTAATGATCTAAAGACTAAAACATACGGATAAGCTCTAGGTGTAAGTCTTATCGGGATTTTCCAGTGCATATTCAAGGTATTTTTCATTCCGTTACAGTGTTTTTTGCTGCAACTGCTTTTTAAAGATATTAGCTTTTTAAATGCCCTGTTCTGTGAGAAACTGAATACTTTTTCCTAGTTTTTCACAATCTACTTTCCTCGGGGGTAAAGGTTTATCCTACTGTACTACTAGTCCCTCTCTGAACACATGCTCCAGTGGGATCAGTTTTCAGGAACTGACCACAACTTTCTCCCGCTTTCTGCAAATCTTTAGGGAATGCATAAACGAATGGATTCTGCAAACAACACACCCTTCGTGTCTCATAGCCATCTGGTTACCATTTTTCAACAATTCCTGGTATCTCAATCTAATCTCTGTAGGTGTGGCGTACGTTATTTCAATTGGAAGCTTGAATAGTCTACGAATAAAGTTTTACATTCAACGGGAGACCTGACGGGTTAAATTTCTTCTGCATCGGACAGCAGTTTGAATTTTCGTGCACTTAATAGTAACGCATATCGGTTGAATGTTTCAAATTTATGACTGAAAATAGATGATAACTGTAATAACCTTAATACTTTACAATCAACGGCACTGTATTATTATCTGAGTTTTTGTTCTTTAATAAAGCCCAACCATATAGCTTTAAGGTCACAGTCCTACGAGAGCCTCATCCAAGTACAGGTGAAAAGTGTACTACTGTTGCAACAGTACGAACATCTAACTTAGCATCTTGATCCAGTGAAGAACACAAGTTCATTTAGTTTGACATCGATATTATTCAACCGCTCAGAACAGAATAGATTGTCAGAAGTTCCATGTCTCCGCCCATTTCCTACCTGAACCCACGTGACAACGTCGGAAATATTCACATGTGATTGTTGAAATTCGGTTTATATACAACTTGTTTCTTTTTTTCTTTTTCAGCTTTACTTTATTTTACTGAATATAAAGTGATAAACTTTTCCAGAAGGAGAAGAGATCAATCAAAGGGCTTCTAGACAACACATTATGAGGTGATGATGATGATGGGATTTTAACACACGTCTTTCGGGTTGATAATTTGATAACCTTTATTGCCAGGTCATCACTGCCTGGTAGTGTATAAACCTTCACACTGGAGGATATAATGTGGAATGATTGT